GGCTTGCTCCCTCAAAATCCGAAGTCCTTCTCCGAGATTAGCATAGGCCCGTGCTTGCGCTGACCCTTAGTGTTTATCAGTTAGATGTCGTCCACAAATTTAAGTATCTCGATAGTCATATTAGCGCTTGTGTAATAGAAATTGTCATCGCGAACTGTATAGCAAAAGATCAAGAAGCTTTTGCTACTCTTCGCCACCTGTAGCACCGGCGCGACATAAATTTCGCCGTTTACGGTTCAGATCACCTGAGAGCTTGAAAGCAGGATGAAGTGGTTACTGAAAATAAGCACAATAATACGGCTAACCGTGGAACCGACTCCTGGGGACCTGTTTCCATGCGGGATAATCCCTCGAAAGGTTACATCCGCACTTCCACGTCCCGTTTGGCTTCGTGTCAGTGTGGCATAACAGCATGCGAGCCATCGCAATACTAGCTCATTTGTATGGCCGTTTGTATATATAATGAGTAGCAGGCTCATGTTTTTCGTTTTTAAAAATACTCCTTTAGACGATTACGGCTTTTGACTCTTTCAATTCTGACACCTTTTCCAATCGACAAGTGTGTGCTAATTTCCCTTGAGTAAGCATATTTTTTCACGCAATAGGTCTGTGACAACTCGCCACACGTGAGTGTGTTAAATAATCCAGAGGGTTTATTCCATCACCTCAGGAGATCGGCCCAGTCGTAGTCAACAATGGAGAAAAGAAGTATAGAAGGTGGCGAAATACGAATAATGATAATCGTGTGGTATACATCTGACAAATTCTGTTTCAGGTTGTAAATAGAGAATACATCGAAAAAATACAAATAAAGAAAAAACGGCTCTGTGAACGATTCTGAGGCAGATCCAGACAAACGAGTTGTAGAGTAATTGGTGTGGAGAGCGGACTTCACAGGGCATCAAGAACTGCCACAGGTAGTTGAGTTATTTTCTCTAGAAAAGTAGTACGCAGCAAACGTAAAGAGAGAAAAGATCATTAGTTTTGCATAACGAGAAGTGAGATGACGTGATGTTGGAATGGGAATAAGCTTAATGGTTTAACTAAACGAGTAAGAACGTATTCAGACAGTTTGCACATATTGTCGTGCACTTGTTCCTGTGTACCTATACTTCAACTCATTCTCCATATATTGACTCCACTCTTCAGTTCAGTTTCATAAGTTCCCTGACACAACACAGTGACGTACGTATCCAGCATTTTTCTAAACGATTGTTTAAACTCACGTAGTCGCAATACAGTAGATAGTCTGTTCTAGATATCCGACTACTTCGTCAGTTAAGACCTCCAGCGTATGCTTGTTTTTGTTCTACTTGTGGGACGCGAATTTCTCCTGTTCCTAATGCTATACCTTCCATTCTTAATTCTGTGCGCAGTAAATACTTGCTTTGTGCACTAAGTGGAACAGAAACTTCAAGCCAAGTTTCAACCTACGTAACCGCACTGGCACTAATTTAAGCAGAATACAGCGTTCTGAATAGTTTGGTGTTAGGGATTCCGTAAATAGAGCTTTGGCGAATCGATGCTGCATGTTCCTCAGACATAGGCGACCGCGTTTCCTACAACTACTAAATATTATCGAACGGTATTTCGAAAGAGGGCGCACGCAATTCTTGAACATATGCAGCTTAGAATCAAGCAATAGCAGTGATTTGAAGCTTAATCCCGCCGTTTGTCGGGCTTTGGTTTCTTATGAATTCGATCTGCTTCCCGAAATTAAGGGTGCTTGAATATTGAATAAACGTCTACCATTGAGTTGCGGAATGGAATTGGCTTTCCGCAGAGGTACAGGGTGCCATATTTCTTTTGCATCAATATGGTAAGATCCCGCACTTATCCGCAGCGAATGACATTTGCCAGTTGTCACACCATCTTTCGAGAACTAACAAATCACTCCGTATCTTTTCCCAAGTGTGTTCCAGATTTATAGGATGAAAAGTTTACAATAACTTAATATCATCTGCGAAAAGGTAGGTTGTATTATTTTCAAGTTTCTTTTATGTTATTAAGGTACATCAAGAACAGCAGTGGACCAAGGACACTCCGTTGGATCACACCACTAGTGACAGGCAGCGATGATGACCTATGGATACCTGTTTACACTTGTTGAATGCGATCAGTAAGACATGATCTAAACCAAGCATGCAAAGGTTCTATGATGTCAAATCGTGACATTTTCCCTAGCAAGTGGCGACATGTTACGCTATCGAATGCATTTTGCATGTCGATGAAAACGATGTTAGCTGCATGGTCATTATCCACAGAACTCGTTAAACAATTCAGGAATTCCAGTTGGCATGTTTGACATGATCGTTTCTGTAGAAAACCATGCTGACTCTAGTTAATCAAGTTTTGTGATAGCAAATGGTTTATCGTTTTGTCTTTTCCTTTTCGCTCCATTACCCTCCAACAACAGGCGTGTGACTTATCGGGCGGTAATTGTTGAGGTCTGATTTTGGGCCATTTTTGTGCCTAGGCCTGACTAGCGCGAGTTCCCATTGGACTGAAAAATGCCCGACTCCATGCACATGGTAAACAAGTTTAAGAATAAAAACGGCATATCATTGTATTGCAGCAATTATGTCTGGGCCAGGATAAAAGGATGATCGTAGTCTATGTGGCGCCGAATTGCTCTGTTGTGCTGTTTTACAATGCTAATAGTTGTGCTGGACAAAGATACGTCACACAGAACAGTGAACGATGAGGTAAAGTGATTATTTAGAATATTTGCTATTACGTAAGGATCCGAAGTCAGATTTGTTTAGTAGAGTAATGGCAGAAACTATACCAGGTTGAAATTTATTTCGTGTCCGCATCATTTTGACTAAGTCTCTGGATTTGCTTTTAGACCCACAGATCTCGTTGCTCTTCAGCCAGTAATCTCCGTTTATTGTTCAGCAAGGAGCATGTCCTGCCTTATTAATAAGGAGAAGTCAAGCGTCCGTTTAGTCTGAGTACGCACTTCCGATAATTGTTTGAATAAACGCCGTGTTTTTAATGAAACATTTTTACTTGCTTGTTGTTTGATGGGCGCAAGATCGTCTAGGATTTGTTGAAAGTTAGCGTACTTTTTATTAACCGCTATCTTTGGTTCTTTTGTATGAAAAACAGGTCGCAGTTCATTGTTTGCAGAAGAGACGAAAACCCAGTCTAACTTCCTAAGTTCTATGCGTGGCACCATCATAGGCAAAGGATTTAGTTTCAAGATTCTTACTGGTAATGCAAAATTGAGGTGTACCACATTATGATCGCTACATAGTAAGACAGCACGTTCGCAGTAGTTTTAAAAACGTCGTAGATATTAAGCCAAATATATGATTACCTCTCGTTGGTTTTCGCATTGTTTGGGACCATCTCAGTAACTGAATTTCTGAGATGGAATTCCTGAGTCCAGGTGAGGCAGGTCACTTTTTCCAACAAACATTTGACATGTTAAAATCACCCTCGATTATTTTGTGAGCGCAAGTTAAATCAGAGGCGTATTCGAAAGCAGAAGAGAGGGAATTTAAGTAGAGGGTGTCACACTGCGGAGGGATATATATATATATATATATATATATATATATATATATATATATACAACCTGCTAGTATGTGGGTATCGTTCAACTCCACAGAAACCCAAACGGATTCAACAACCTTGTTTAGCTGTGGGTCTGATATTGAGTGGGTAAATAGCTGTTCCCGAGCATATATGACGCATTCACCACCATTGCCCGTACGACCGCTACTCACGGAGGTGGTGTAGCCCTTAACATAGTAATATGTATGAGGCACATGGAGGGAGAACCATGCTTCAATTACTAGTATGAAGTGGGGAACTGCGAGAGTAGTGAGATGGCGAAAGCTGTGTACTCAGCGAGCGTATATTAATAAGAAGGATAGTGATATTGCCTAACCCAGAAGTTTAATATTCCATGGAAAATAGGGGTATTACTGTGGTAGCATTTATGAAATTGGCAATGGTGGTGGTAGTTGAGAAATATTGGGGCCATTGTACATGTGTAGTTGGAATAGGTTGGGAAAATGGCTCTCTGGGTATGTCAGATTAGGAGGTAAGGATGGTGGAGGCCAGTTACAAGATTGGCCATAGCAAGTGGCGAGGTGGCAGCTACGTGCGATAGCTTCATATTGCGCTTAGAAGTGTTGTGTGGGAATCCAATGGACCAGCGAAGATCCATTTGGGGAGATGGGAATGGTAGGCATCAGCAGTACGCTGGTACGCAGTACCGAAGCATCACAACCGTGCAACCATCACCGGTCGCACGCGACTAAGGGAAGCGCGAGTACTGCCCTGCCCGTACGCAGGCTACAACCCGCGCCATCAGATTACAAGACAAGCCTGTTATCTTTAGGCTACAATACTCGCTCTGGCTCAATTTATGATCTTTGTACCATCGTCTCCGGACGCGTGCAACCAATAATTGGGTAAGCAGGTGAAGGCCATTGATCCTAGCTGCAGACACGCAGTCTACTTCTATTTGTGTGCACATCTTTTAGAATACCAATGTTGAAGGTCACTGCAGAAACTGGGAGCGTGTTTTGATAAAAGGTTTTGAGTAGTAGGAAGCAACTAAGTGTTGAGATCACACTCGCGCAAACGATAGATCCTCATCGGAATAGCAGCTGCTATTATCTTCCACTGAGGATTCTAAAAGTAACGATGACACATGATTAGCAACGGTGCGGAATACGCTCAGTTTCTTAAAAACACAAACGCTTTGCTTTGAGGTGAAGAAGTAACTTTTGCACTTATAGTTTTAGCGAACACACGAAAAGTAATCCATCGGGGTTCGCTAATTCCACACTTACATGTTTCTAAACTCCGTGCTCCTCCAACAACCGTGCAATGGCAGAAAACAACGAAGTACAGTCGTGAAGCATAAGAGAAGGATGCACATGTGAACAGTTACAAAACCATTGATGAAGGGTGATCACGAAGGTTAGGATCCAAAACAAAAGTGAAAAGTACACGACATAAGAAATATCCGACGAAAGATTTTAAGTATCCCAGTCCTCATTGGAGCTATCGTCGTGTTCACGGTTCCCATCAGAATCACCCTCGCTATCCTCGGTGCCCATGTGTGCACGCCGCATTTCTAAGGCGCTTGCGAGCGATTGCAAAAGATTACGTTCTACAGATGGAGGAGAGCCGGTTGTATGTGGGACTGGACGATCATCTGCACCGCCTGCTGGAGTGACCTACAAAGAAGAAACACAGAGTTTTTTTAAAGCCAAACGATACGGGGCGATGCAATCACTACGGTGTAATCAACATACTTTCCGTAAATTGCTCTTCTGGAACGCCACTATCTGTGACTGCAGATCCTGACCCACGGAGACTGACTGCTGTGGAAAGCTGTTCACGGCAATCGTCTCCTGTTGGGCGCTGTGCACCTTAGTTCCAGAGGTCAATGGGGGAGGCGGAGGCACTGGGGCCGCTGGTATTGTTCTTGGGGGTGGCGGAACGGTCGGTGGTGGTGGCGGAGGCGGAGGTGGAGGCACGTCCGCCTTATGTATGGATGGAACAGGAGGCGGAGGAGGGTGGGATGTGGGCGGAGGTGGCGGAGCCCGTGACGGTGGCGGTCGGAAAGGGGGATCAGAGCCGCTTCTTGCTGTTTCCAGCTGACGTTGAACCTTATGGGATAAAGAGAGAAATAACAGTAGGATTCGGTCAGTTGAACACTTGTGGGCAGAAGTGCCTAAAGACGATCACTGTGGCTAACGGGGGACAGTCAAATTCATGCGACAAGCGCCACATTTAAATTTCGACTGATGTTGCATGTGTATGCGGAATATAACGACAGCCCAGGTTCGTAGGTACCAAGTGATACCAATGGTCAGTGGTATAATACGGATATAAGTCAGTTTTACATGTCTCACAGAATGGTCAGTTGGGATTCGCATAAAGACTACAGAAGTTGATGGGGCCTTTAAATTGCCTTTGTCGGTTTCGCCGAACATCAGTTGTTACATTATCTACTGTAGATATATCACTTTTACAAAAATAAAGTGGCAAACATTTTCTTAAATGAACGTCCAAGGTCACTGAGACCAATCTACTCAATCCGCTCTTTGAATAGTAAGGCTGAAATATCTCACACGATTCCCAACCTATCATCTTTATACGCAAGCCTGTGTTAACAGTTACGAGTTATAAAGGAACGTCTTAATGGAAGTTTGTCCTTTTGAAGGGGACGCAAATCCCAAAGACATAGTGAAGCGTTATGCGATCGTTGCTTGATCGAATTATGACAGTGCACCCATTCTCGTTTTCTTACCCATTTGTAAACGTTGACAATTTTGATGGTGCTCTGGTAATAAATTGTACAGCTAATAGTGCAAAATGCATCCAGTTGGGTGAAAAAAGGCTTAGGTTGATTTGACTCGACTAGAAAACCGAAAACGAGATCTGTGAATTTGCCGACTAAAATTTTATTCGATGGAATAGTTTTTATGATGCCTGGTGCAATAAGCAACCCTATCGTCTTTAGTTATCCGAGCAATACAAGTCTATTTTTCGCGTTTTGGCTTTCTGATGTCCATGTGCGTTAGCTGTGGTGGTGTAAGAGAGTAAGGGTGCTTTCGGATCGATATTTAAACACGGCTTACGTAGATGATGGAAAAAAGTGGGTTCGATCAGTCAGTCGTTTCAGGTGTATAAACGTCCAACGTCGTCGAACTCGTGCAATGCAAAAACGAGCACCATTCATCATCATGAAGTGAAGAGACACCCCCAGTCACCATTTGTAATTCCCACTTCAACCAGGCGTGTTGTTGCAAAACAGTTTAATCAAATGAACAACAGTGTCGCACCATAACGTTACATATATGCTTCGCTGCCGTGCTGTGAATTTTAAATATATGAAAGCTAAGTATTCCACTGACGATTGATGGATAGTTTGTTTATTCTTAGATCTCTGATCCCGAACTTTATGCGTACTCGATCACCCGCAGTCTGATAGTTGATTCTGGTTACATAATCACAGTTATTTTTTCCGCTATTAACCAGTTTTTGTACAACACGACAAACGCGAACCAACCATTCTTCGTTTCATTGTGCTACATTCACTATGTTTTTAGTCACTGTTTGAACGATACCTATTTTCGTCCCGTATTTGCGACTGGATCTACTATACCGCTTTGTTTGAGATTACAATTCTAGAACCACGGTTTAACAGTACAGCTTATTCTGCTCAGACCGTGCGTTAGTTTAGTGATTCAACCTGCGCTCCAAACTCCGCAGTTGCATCAATGAGAAACAAGACAGGAAACATGTAGAACATACATTTTCTAAGCTGGAGAACTTTTAGCGGAAAAGTTAAGACAAGAGTGCCGCACGATTTAATTCCGGAAAAATTTCTCTGCATATTTTCAAATGCGTACTACAGACGTGTAAATTTATACAATCATGAAAGGAGCGCAATTAAAATGGCAAATTGATCACACACACACACGCACACACACCTACATTCATGTCACCTTGTCATCTGTGCCCGGCCTGCTACCACGACAGGGCCAGGGTCACAAATGCGTCTTCCTGCACACACAAAGTTGGGCCAAATTGTTTGATAGCCATGGCCTCAGCATATCGTAAAGTTAGGGGGGGTTCATTGATACATAGATAACACGGAACGCCCGCACGGGGTCTACACAGTGATTGTCAGCCAGGAAGTGGCTGGCGATCGATGAAGCTGGTTGTTAGTAGGGAAGTTCATTTCGCTTCCTTGACTGCGCATACGAGGTGGTGGACGTGGCCATCTGCAAAACGTGTTTACTCACCCATGCCGGTATGTGCTCCGCGATCCTCACCCTCAATTGTCGTTCTGTCATGCCCACGTATTCGGCCCTGCAAACACATGTAAATTGGTAAAGGATGTGTGAACAGCTGGACAGCGACAGCAGGGTTTTAACCGATGGAGTAGGGATACGATTTCGTTGTGTAGATGAGCACTGGTTTCGCCGCAGGGTATACGCGCGCCACTGCGGATTTCAATCGGTGTTGAAAAACCTGGTATACGTCGTCGCCCTTGAATGGCAATTGCAGGGTTGCCTTCATCTTCGGTACCGTGGGCACACATGTTTTCTCTTTCTCAGCACTAAACTAAGCGACGAAAGACGGTTGGTACCAATTGTCCACGAGGATGCTGGTTATAAGCCGCAGCTCTTATTCCAGCGTGCCGGCAGTGCATATTTTTCTAGCTCTGTTGTACAAAGTCTTCACCAGACCTTGTTTGTACCGCTTTTGGACAAAGTTGTAGAAGTTCAAGTACTGTCGCTTCCACTGAACCGTCGGTTCAGTACTCAGACCAGTTTACCGCAAGCCGACGTTTTGCAGATGGCCACGTCCACCACCTCGAATGCGTAACACGGCAACACGGTGCTATAAACACAGAGATGTAAAATTCATGTTCGCCTTTCTTCTGAGTCAGTAGAAGCGCTCTTGTCGAAGGACTGTCTTCTCTCTCCCTCTCGGTCTAGCGGTGCAGTTCTGGAATTGCGCTCGTCTCGCGTGTGGGATAATCGCGTGCAGCTTCTCCATGAGTGGGGAACGACGGTTGTAAAGGACGCTGCAAATCAAAGGCTGATCGCGGAAAATCTCGCGCAATTGTTACACTAACTGCAAAAATGTCAAGATCTTTGGGTTGCTTCGGGCGAAGTTAATTGAACGATTGAACAAAGTCGGTAGAGCAGATAGACTTCTTCTAGCATTCTTTAGACTCTGAAGACCAACTCTTGTGAATGATTTGCACAACTTACTAGTGTATCAGTTTGCGAATAAGATTGTCCAAACAGAATGCAGTCGCTCCGTTATAGTTCCAGTTTTCAAGGGAGGCTCACGTTCGAAATGCGGCAATCAAAAGGGGATCCGTCTGATGTCAGCCGACGCTTAATCACTTGCCTCTGTCGCCCTCCACAAACTGACGCACCCATAAACGCCAGGTTTTGCGAGCAGCAACCTGGGTTTCATCCAAATCGTCGCTATATTAACTCCTTTTCACATTAGGTACACTGCAGTTTTTGGCGACCCACCGTAGTCATGTTCCCGACATCAATGATGCCTTCGATTCAGTGGATCGATTTGTCCTTTGAGACTGTGATCAAGAAACGTGTGCCCTATAAACATTTAAGCATCACAAGTACGTTGTACGCGTGTAACTCGGACAGAGTGAGGGCTTATTGCAGACTGTCGTTGCCTTTCAGTATCCAGCTTTGTGAGAGATATTTGCTGGCTGTGACCTTTCCTTTCTAACTTCGCCGTCGACGAACTCATGGAAACGGGGTTCGCTGGACACGACCTACAAAGTGTGGAGCTGATTTCTGTTGCCCGACTTCTTGATTTGATGTAGGCCGACGAAATTGCCCTAATCTCTGACAGCGCTCAAACGTGGCAAGCAGCACTGGACTGGGCAGTGGTTTGCTCCTTCAAAATGCGAAGTCATTCGCCGAGATTAACATGGGCCCGTGCTTGCGCTGACCCTTAGTATTTATCAGTTAGATGTCCTCCACAAATGTAAGTATCTCGGTAGTCATATTAGCGCTTGTGTAATAGAAATTGTCATCGCGAACTGTATAGCAAAAGCTCAAGGAGCTTTTGCTACTCTTCGCCATCTGTAGCACCAGCGCGATATAAATTTCGCCCTTTACGGCTCAGATCACCTGAGAGCTTGAAAGCAGGATGAAAATAAGCACAATAATACGGCTAACAGTGGAACCGGCTCCTGGGGACCTGTTTCCATGCGGGATAATCCCTCGAAAGGTTCCATCCGCACTTCCATGTCCCGTTCAGCTTCGTGTCAGTGTGGCATAACAGCTGGCTCGGCTAAGCAGCATACTTAACACTTGTTTTACTGGTCTCGTTTTAGCTCGTGACTGAACATACTCTGTCACACTGTGCTCAGTGTTACGAGGGATTCCTTCGAATTTTGATATATTCACGGGTAATTCGGACTACGGTTCTTAGTGCGCTGAGGTCATTGTGATGCGAAGTAGTGGAAGCCCTAAGAAAGTTAGTTCACAAGTGACGACTTATCATTGCACGATAGCCAGCTGTCTGTGACTGCGTTGTTAACAAAGTGTGGGCACTTTGGCCAAGAATGTTTGTATGGAGCATTTACATTTCACACCCCGCCAGGTAGTAAAACTTTAGTTCAGATCACTGGTGTATCGCTGATGATGGTGAGGATGGCGATTGCACAGAAGATTGTTAACGCCGCAAACAGAAGCTACGAGACACATATTACATCAGAAATCTAATTTTATGGGGACTCGATGTTCTCAGTAGGAGTGGACGCACGTCTAATGCACGGGGCGTCGTGGCAGATCCACCAAACTCGGGATGTGACAATCTCTTGATTGTCCACGTGGAACATAGTTTGCTATGCGTTCCGTTGAAGCCCAAGGGAAAGAGGTGAGGGACTAAGGCATAATCAGAGCCAAAGATCAAAAGTGGAACAGCGCAGTAGCGTGAGTAACTTGTAAGTCATCGTGTGCCATAGGTGGCCAGTGGCCTCGAAGACACGGGGACTCAGAAACAGTCGACGCTCGGCCCATAACTCCACCACACAAGCACCTGGAAGTAAGCTCAGAAATCCTATGTAACTGACTTGGTTGTGAGCATAGGCAGCTTCTGCACA